GGATCCTAATGATTCTCTTCGATTCTGTATTCAATTCTCAAGTTTATATTAAATTTAATAGGTGGGGTATACCCCACTATTATTTTTAATAATGTTCCTAACCTTATATAATTCTGTTCGATTCTATTCGATTCCAATTTTCGGAACCATAATCTCTCAGTATCTGGTGACTTTGTTGTCAGGTTGTTCTCATACTTATTGAGTCTTGCGCTGGCTTGTTCTTCTTTAATTTTAAAAATAGCCTTTTGTCAGGTCTAGGATCTTGTTTATTAGAGTTGTGAATATCTAGAGAGTTGGTAGAGCTATGAGCATATGAGTTTTGTAAAGTAAGAGATGAGGATCTTATGGAAGAAAAAAATGACTCATCTAGGTTTTGTGAGTTAAGAATATTTGAGGAGTTGATTGAAATGGATAGAAGATTATTCTTGGTTTCTGGAAAAATAAGTGTGCTGGAGGAGACTCCCATGTCTAAATCACTAGGAATGGGAAAATCCAAGTCGATTGACATTGATGAGTCACCATTGTTAATTAAATTTGGATGTGCTGGGTTCTGATTGAAGAAGGATAGTGGAGTGTCTAATTGAATATAATGATCAATTGGTTCTGTTACTTGTGATTGGTTAAATGAAGGGTTGAAAGTTGTGATTGGATTATTGGACGAAGAGATGGATGGAGTTTCTTAATATTCAGCTAGGCTAATTTGATAATTTGTACTTAGAAAAAATACTTTTTTCTTTCTAATTGTCTTTCTATCAACTTAGATCATATTTTAGAAAACATGCTTGGAATAGTTCCAGCCTTTGCTAAAAATCTGATTGAGAATTTTTTCTCTAAGAGCTTTGTTGTTTGTAAAGATAGTTTGAAAAAAATTTTGATAAGTTAGGAATTTATCTAACTAATCATACAGTTTGTCTTTGAGAAAAGAAAATTAAATAAGTAGACTGTTTTGATCTTTGATTGAAAATTCCAGTTGTATAATAGAGAGATTTGATAAGCTTGTGTGAATGATGTTTTGAGTAGAAATAAGCCATCTTGAAGAATGATTGGACAGAAATGGAGTAGTAATAGACATGGAAGGTTCTGTGACAATGATTTCTTTGTTTTGGTTTAAATAAATAACTGCGAATTGATGTTTTTTCTTTTCAATGAGAATGATATCCAGCAAGAGAGGTTCGACAGTTTAGTATTGTGGCAAGGAAGGTGTAATAAGATAGGAAGTTCTAATGGAAACTACTTGGATATTGTGGTTAGACATGTTAGGTGATGATTGGCAAGTGTAGAACTATTGAAGATTGTATACATTATGTGAATTTTTGTGTAATGTGACTTGATTTTGCTAATATGAGTAATTGTTAGCATGTGGTGTTAGGTAATATATAATAGTGGTTGGTGTATAATATAATTGTTAATGTGTTTTTGTTTATTTATAATTGGTAGCTTGTTTATTGACTTGGAAAGTCTTATAGTATATGGATATGTTGTTGCCTGTTAATGTGTAGTTGCTTGTTGATGTGTTATTGTTTGTTGACATATTGTCACTTGTTGATGTGTTGTTACTTGCTGATATGTTATGGTTGTTTTAATGTTTGTTTGGATGAATAATTTTGTATAACTTGAATTTGGAGGGTAAACAGATTTTGATTTTTAAGATTTTGATATGTAGGATAAGAATTTTTCAACTTTATACAGTTGATAGGAAGTTTTGACATCCTTTTAGCTCAAGAAAGGTGGCAAGGTTGTTTGATTTATTGAATGAAATCTGACCTTTTTTGAGTTACTACAGTATCTAGAGAGATGTTTAACTTGACACATAACTGGCTGTAGTAGTGATAATGAATGTTGACTTTTTGAGACCTTATTGTAAATTAGAAGGTGTGTTTTTTTATTCCTCCACTTGAGGGATAAGTTTGTTTGAGGATCTTTTGTTAAAAGATATGAATATTTGAGGTGTGAAGTAGAAGATGTTAATTATTTGTTTTCAATAATTACCTGATATTATTTTTTTGTATGTTTTTTTAAATAATTATGTGAATAAAGTTTTATAATTTTTGGTTTTTTTGGAAGTTTCCTAAAAAGAAAATTAGATGTGAAGTGGGAAAGAGTTTTTTGTTTTTAAAAATTAATTTTCTAATTACAATTTATATATAAATTTATTATAAAAAATTTTACAAAAAATTTTTAATTGAATTTTTTTTAGTTTAAATATTAAATATTAAAATAAATTAATTTATAAAATGCAGTATTATAATATTTTATTTTTTATAGCTAAAAAAACATTTATTTAAAGAATTTTTAGACAAAGTATATGTATTATTAATTAAAGTTTTTCAAGAATTTTTTTTAATTATTAATTTAAAATTAATAAATTATTATATATTGATTTTATATTATAAACAATATATATTTAAAGTTTTATTTAATTTTATTATTTTTTAGATTATGAAACAAACTTTAACAATTTTTTTTTAAAATCTTAATTATATATTATATATACAGTATGGTACAAAAAAACCAAAATTATATGTTTAGTTATAATTCAATAATTAATTAATTAATATTTTTTTAATTTTTATTTTAATATACTAATGGTTGAAAAAAAATCAATTCTCATTTTTTTTATATATGTTTTATAATAAAAAACTGAAAAATAATTAAAAAATTTTTAATTCTATTTAAAGTTTAAATAATTTTTTTATATTCTCAAATACTATAAATATCTTTATATAAAATTATCTTATTGATTATTTTAATAAAATTATTAATAATAATTTTTTAAAAATTACAATGGGGAAATAATTTTTTTTGTTACTTTTTTTAAAAAACATTAGTTTTATATTTAAAATTAGCTTTAAAATTAATATTAAAATTAATAATAAATTATGATTTTTTTGATTTTTATCTTAAAAACAAATTTATAAAGTTTTATAACATTTAAATAATTTTATATTGATTTATTAATAAAAATATAGGTTTAAAAAAATTCTGGGTTTTTTTGCACCACACTGTATATATTTATATTTATATTTAAAAAAAGAGAAATATGTAGTAGTAAATTTTCTTGTGTCTTAAAAAATATTCTTTACTCATATACTGTAACATAATATAATTTCTGCATCTAAGTTTTTTAAAAAATTTTTTAAACAAAATATTTTATTATTTTATTTAAATCTCCGTTTAATATACCGTTTATACAGATTATTCGTTAATGAATACTGCGTTTTGTGATTTTTTATAAAAAGTTTTTTAAATATAGGTATTTACTAGTTTAAAAATATTTTGGAATATACACTAACCTATTTTGTATATTGTTTATACAATCTATAATATGTTTCTAATTATCGTTCTAGAAAATTTTTTGACAATTCCGGTTTTCCTTCTTTCTGACAATCAATATTCCCGAATGTCATGTAAGGAATTAAACATGCAGGAATGTAAGAGAATAGGCTTCTGAATGCCGAAGATTCCAATATATGGTTCGAACTCGAAATCTTGATACCAGTCAGGATTATATTTTTTTGTTCCTTGATGCAAACTTAAGTGAAACAGCTCTGGTTTTAGATTTTATGATCAGCTCGTAGTTTATTAATATCAGTAAGCATGCACAATCTAAATAATTTAGGAAGTAAATATTTTCTTGAATCATGGCTTGGCATTATACGTAAATCGCAGATTGGTTTTATGATTGAAAAAAAGTTGAATAGAATGAATTTCAAATTTTCAATACTTTTAATTTTGAATTATGGAATTAATTCATCCACGAGAATACTATACAAATTACAGCAAAAAAATCTACTTTACGTACCTCCCGCGTCAAACTCAGTTTCAGCAGGGATTATTGGGCTTACAACCTTCAAAAATTGCCGGAGTATTTCATCTACGCTATTCTCAGGATCGTCCTTTGAAAGCAAAGCGGATTGTATTGTACTTCAAGGGCAAAACTTTTGTAAGATTCGACGAAGGAAATGAGCAACATAAGTTAAAACAACAGTTTCTGAATATGTCAAAAACAATATGGACTTCGCAAAGCGAAGGAAATTTTGAAGATATCACCTCATTGGATATACCATTCGAATTTGACATCCCTAACACCTCTCCATCAACGGTTATTTCAATGGAAAAAACAGGCATTGGTTTAATTACGTATACACTCCAAGCAAAAATTTTCAGAGTTTCTCATTTACTACTTTTACAACACGTGAAAGCAGTGAAATGTCGTTTAGATATTAACAGATGGGCAACACTTCCTTCACCTGATTATTATCCGGCTCCATTTTCCTATGGACTCCCGAAATTTCAATGCCAACTGCTGCTAGATCAATCTGTCTTCGGGATTGGAAACGTAATTCCTCTGCCTATAAAATTCATCCTATTTGACATGAGAGTATGCGTGAAGAAGATTACGGTCAGAATAAAAGAATATCATCTATTGAAATTGACCTTGGAATTAGATAACCCTAAAAGTAAAATTATTAAAGTATCTTTATTTGAGACTATAGTGGGAGGAGATAAAGTTCTTCCTGTTATTGGTAGTAATAATGAGTTCATGGTAACTATCAAGTGTGATTTAAGAGAATCTTTCAGGAAGATACAGTGTGATTGCGAGACTCCATTGATTGATATTTGGCATATGTTAAAAATTAAAGTAAATATGGAAAACGCTGGCGTCGGACATTTATATATGGAGAAGGAAATGAAGATTTACAATATTTTACAGAATGACCTATTGGTAGGGGCATCCGATGACTGAAGAAATAGAAATGTGAGTAGAGTAAGAGTAAATATATTTTTTTTCTTGCAAATTTTGTTCTTTCTAAATTTTGATTCTATTTACAATATAAATTCCAGAAATTTAGGTCAAGCCCAACGGGACTGTATATTTTCGTCATTTCTGTTTTCGCGTCTTAAAAACGCAATTATAATGATCAATTGTACTTACCAAATATCATTCCCGAATTTTGCAGCTATAAAGACTGATATAAAAGAGTCCATCATAATTTAAGATAATATTGATTTTTTCGGTTTATGATTTTAACGGTTGGTTGCTCTTTAATCTAAAAAAAATTTCCCTCCCTGTACATGTTTCTTTTTAATATTGCCCCTGACCACTCCAAAAATAAAATAATCTATTTTCGCCCTATAACATCTAATTCTTTCGATTACATGGGATTTATTATAAACTTAAATATAATGGTCCAGCTGCATTGTTATAATGGCATTATTAGAAAGGACTATGAAATCGAAAAGAGGAAGATATAATTTTTGCAAAATCCTATGATGTAATCTAGCACCAACACTACGTGGCATAATATTTTTTTTTACTAATGTCATGTGAGTAAATTCGAGACGTTTAATAATACTGTAAATATTCATTAATTCTCGTTTCCTAAAAATTTAGTATTACTTCCCGCATTATAATAAAAAGTGACTTGGACTTTCGATCGTTACGTACCACAAATGAATAATCTTATCAGAACCACACATTCTTCGGATTTAATATTTTTTCAAGCAATGTTATCAAATGTATTATTGTGGGGAAAATGGATGGGCGTGGTGTGGCGCAGTAACGTGATGCATTTATCATGCATCAGCGATAGGCGCCGAAGCTTCTTGAGCTTAGGGTAATTTGCATAACGCGTCAGTAGATAATTGTACGCGTCGCAGTAGTATAAATAGATGTAGGATAGTCTAGCAATAAGCATAACGTGTAATCTTGTAATTGGTAATCTTCGTTTAATAAAGGAATAAACTATTATTTTCGCCTGTCACTTTGGGAACATTAACATCCCCAACTTTTATCGTGGATTCAGATTAATTTTGTCATATCCATTTAAAATAAAAACAAATTTATAATTTATATTTGAGTTTTATATAACTTTCTAATTTAACTTTGATGAATAATCCACCCAAAAATGTCGGGCAAGATGACGGTTAAAATTGGATCTGCTCGCTCTTTTTTGAATTTAAGAAAGCGTCAAATTTACCTCTAAATTAAAGGAATCCGTGGCGTTTATGAAACACTTTTTCTTTGGTGGCACATACAGGTTTAATGCATCTTTAATCTTTTTATCCTGTTCTAATTCATTTGAATATACCTTTTTATTTTGTTTGGCGGCGCTAGCAGTTCAGTTCAGTGGTGTTAGACGATAAATTCTGTGATAACTTGAGACGAACTTCAACTAAAAATCTTGAATTAAAATCAGATTTCACGAACGAGTTCCATATACTATATGAAGCCTGTATACGTCATTCTCTGAGTTTCTTTGTTAGGAATTACTTTATTAAGAATCTCGTTGACATATTTTTGCAATATTTTTATTTCTTTGTTCGCTAACTGTCGCAAGATAGCAAAAACGCATTCTTTATGTTTTGATAGATCATTAAAATCCAACTCTCCTTGTTGTATCTTTAAATTCCGTTGTGTACGACAATATGCCCTAAGAGTTGGTACATGCCTATCAAACCATTTATTCTTATTATAAGAACTCTAACGAACAAACTACTCGAGTTTTACCAACCAATTTTCTTGAATAAAAGTGTTTATAAATCGTAGAACTAAATGCCATTGTTTTTTCTTTCTAAACTTCATTTCTTGACAATATATTCTATTCCTTCTTGTAATTCTTTGAACAATCTCGATTAATTGTTCAAATGCATCATAAAAATCTTTAAATGTTTCTAGTAATTTACTTGGATCAAAATTTGACTAAATTAATAATTCCTGTTAGCGCTTTAAAAGTTCGACGTATGATCTCTTACCATAGTTTTTTATTGCTTGAAATATAAAATAATACCTGAAAAGCGTAGTGGACATGATAAATTAATGCTAGATTGTCTTTAGCTCTTTTAACTGTTGATACAATGACACATGTAGTTTTTCACTATTAATACCATTGGCACCCGTCCGCACCATTACATCTAATAGGGTATAGATAGTTTTCAATAGTTCTCTGAAGGAATTCTGGTTGCCCGACTTCTATAGTTCTTCTAAGCGCTTGCATAATAATTTCCAATATGGCGCTACATTTATCTTACCATTACTCAAAAGCAAGTCAGGAACGTTCGAATTACTTGAGATAAGATAAATAAATGCTCAGGACGCAGTAATGTTAAGTTTATAATTAGCTGGATATCTGCTCTAGTAGTTCTTCATAAATATTTTATTTAGGACAGACGCTAAAGTAACAAATTCGTAGATAATCTCAAAGGACAAAGCTGTTAATTGTTACTTCTGTTTCGGAGTATTATTATTAGACTGCATATGATAAACTAAGTATGCTCTAAAGAAATCATAATTAAGGACTATAAAGATCGCAATTAATGATTGAGCAAATTTTTTTATTCTACAATTATTCATCATCTTTAATGAATCAAAAAAAAAAAAAAAAACCACAAGCAAAAAAAATTGTCTTCGCCATAGGTATAATTTTTTTGATTTTTTGATAATATTAAGGTTTTTAGCGTAAGAAATAAAAAATAGACATTTATGTTGTTGAAAATTACCAATTTTTTCTAATAAGACAGAGAAATATTTTAACGAAATTTAATGCTTGAGAAGTGTTTTTTATACTCCATCAATGATAAACTTTAACTAATTAGAATGACTATAAATATATATATATGGTACTGTATTGAACTAACTATCATTTTAACTCATTGAAATATACAAGCAATTAGAGTATTTTCCACCAATATATTTTATTAAATATTTTTGATCAAAGTGCTTGAGAGCACCCTAAGTATGTCTCTCATAGCTTTGCGTCACGACTTATACAGTGCCGGCTGAAAGTAATGGCGGATGGTTTTTTTTAGATTAAATGATTTTTTTATTTATTAAAAAAATTTT